TTTTTTTAACACTTCGCTCATTTGGTGAGGGTATCCTGCAGTCGTTCACTCCCATCTGGTGCACACTCCCTTCTGTATTTTTTTATTCGTATCCTTGTTGCTCGTCTTTTTAAAGTCGAACTGCGCACAATTTTTAATTAAAACTTTTGCTCAGCTGCTGCTGGCTGGAAAAATCGCGCTTAGCAGGCGGAAAATGCAGCAGCGAGAGAAAAACAAGCGGAAAATGAAATTCGTTTTCTTTTTCTTTTTTTTCGTGGGCGTGGAAAAACTTAGAAGCTAAACTTAGAGCCGCTCGGATGACGAGCACTTGGCAACTTTCGCTGGCTTCTCTGCCTGTTTCCCATTTTTTTTGGCCAAGTCAACTTTTTTATTGGCCAAATATTGGCCATAATTAAGGCGATATAAAACGAGACAATACTATTCCAGCAGCTATAATTATTTCGTCGGCCCTCTCGGCCGCCCTTTCTGGTGACTTTTAATTTGCATTTTAATTTATGGCGCCTATAACTTTTATCGTCTTTGCTGTCGTCATTGAGGCAAAGGCCAAAGGCCGAGCGGGCCAAAAGGTCAGGACGGGATAGGACTTCATTTCACAACATACAAAACGATAAAAACAGCTGTTGGATTACCCAAAGAAGCAACTTCGTTGGGCAATTAGCAGCGAGGTCAAAAGGTTGATGAGTTTCCCGATTGCCTAGTCCAACAGCTGCCTGCCATGGGGGCAGTTAGTCAAAGGGGTACCGTTAAGGCGGCTAGATTAAAGTAAGTCGTCGCACAGTTTTAGATAGTGCCGTGAGCTCTATGCAAACTAAGCAACATTTGACAAAGAATTTGTCTCTTCTAAACAACATTCTTATCGCTGTTGCAGTCTCAGGTATGACTGTCTTTTGTTGCCCTAATGAGAGCTATCTCATAATTGAGAGAGGGTGAGACGCAAAGGTCTTAGTTCAGCTGATAACTGTTGCTTTATGAGATTTAAATATTCACTTTGAATATGCAATAAAAATTGAAGAAAAACATTGAAATACTTGAGCATTTATAGAAATGCCATAAAGCTTATTCAAAGCTATTAAAATAATTGTCTTTTGTTTACAAATATATGTATTGAGTTTTATTTTATTTACGCAAAGGAAATATTAAAAATTTTTATTTCTTATTTAGCATTTACTTATACTTATCGGTTTTTCTTAGGAACTTTTAAAATTTGATAAATCTTATTTTATATTCCGGAAAGCACTTTTAAAATAAATAAATATAAAATTTAATAAATTTTAAAACTTCCTAAAATTTCAGTGAGTTGAAAGCTTTTAATTATTATAATTATATTAATTTAATTATATTAATTTAATTATTATAATTAATATTCGTTCACGAAGTGACTAGAGTATATATATCTCTCTTTCTCTCTATATTTATTTCTCTCTCTCGCTCTGCCTGCCTCTGTCCATTCTCTTTTTTCATCCTCCCTCTCTCTCTCTCCCTCTCACTGCCTGTCCCTCCTGCTGTCTCCCATCACACTGACTTACTTTCTCCTCATCTACTGCTTGGCATAAGGTAACAAACTTGCAACAATGTTCGACTCTGCTAATGAACACATGTCAATTAAAGTAACGACACTGACCAGTGTCCAGTGTCCAGTGTCTGGTGTCTGCTGCACCACAGTGGATCAGCGAAATGATATATGTACGTGTGGCTGGCTGGCTAGTTGGCTGGCAGACAAGGCTCGCGTGCCGTCGATGCAGCGTATTACGTCTACGCACAGCTGTACAGCGGTGCAGGTGGTTCAGGAGAGGCGGGCTGTGACTGTGACTGTGACAAGGTGCCACCGGAGCCAACAAAAATTCGTGTGTCTCACATTTCTGGCCAAGACGCAGGCCTGATTTATGTCGCCGCCGAAGGAAAAGTGTCGCGGGTGTTGCGTGTCAGCCCCCCACACAGCCAAAAGCCACAGCCACCCCCACCACCCGCTAGACACATGAGACTTTGCCAGCAGCAGCTGCTGCTGCTGTTGCTGCTGCGGTCAGCAATTTCCGCTTTAATGTAATTTTGACAACAAACATTTGACCAAAGTTTGGAGCGAGGGGGAGGAGGGGGCGGCTTTTGCCGAGGTGGGCGTGGTCCAGGAGTTTTTTTTGGGGGGTTGAGGAAATGCCAAAACATAAATCTTGCTAAGCTTTCGCCAGTTGGCGCTACAGTAGCGATTTTATAATGACATCTGATGGCTGGCAGCGATTTGGTTGGAACGTCGATTGGATTTCATTGCAGTTTGAGTCCAATTGGATTCCAGTTGGCTACCTGTTTGTTTGGCTTATCATGCGATTTGTTTGCCATGTTTGATTTATCTGATTTGCCGTCCAGCATATACGATTACCGTGTGCCATTTACTGTGCTCCCCGATAAGTGCCTGCTGATTTGTGGCTCAGCGGGTTTGCAGCCCGCTCACTCCCCCCGCCGCCCTCTCCTTTCCCGCAGAACTTGTTCTATTCAGCGCGCATTGTTATCAGCGTCGCCTGCAAGTCTGGCCCATTATCGTCAGCTATAAAATTGCAAATGTTATGAGCCAATCGCTCATAAACTAAACACTGAAGTGACTTATTGACAGATTGAGGCATTGGCAGATTGTTGCATTGTGAGTGGGCCGATAAGCACTTCTAATAGCACTCACTGCGCTGCACTTTTACAATTAGCTAGCCGCAAGGGCGCTGCATAGTGGGCGTGGCGGCTGAGCAAGCGCCCACACACATGAGCTGAAACAACGTAATAAAGAAACAGAGGCTATGCTCTGTATAAAGAGAAGTATTAATGCCTGGAAATGCATTTATAGCTCAGCTCAACTATCGATTCTGAAAATAAGTTTTATATAATATATTATGGTAAGGGCAAGATAATGATATATGGCGTGTATATAGGTATATCTTGATATATATATATTTTATATAGATCTGATTCTATATATAACATATATCGATTATTGTCAATTAATTAATTCTATATTACCTTCTATATTACCTTCGTACTAAGTCAATCTTTAAGAGATCTTTCCAAAATTTAATGAGAATTTCCTTAATCTATATGTATGATATTATATATGTATATATATATATATATTGCACATCGAGCTCCTTCCTCTTATGTGCTACACATCTAGTCTCATAGCTTAAATCCCCTCTAAGAGTCAAGTAAACTTTGTCGCTGCTTTCACCTGTAAAATGAAGCGTGGGCAGAGTTCAAGGCGGCAAGGTAAAAGAATACAAATTTGATTGATTTGCGCAACTCTCTTGATTGATTACAAAAATAAGTATAATAATATAGATGTCAATAGGGGGCCATGCTTTGTGTGGTTCGGTGTGCGGTGTCGTGGAATTGTTGCATGCAACAGCAACTTTTGTCCACGGACAACGGCCAACGGGGGCCACACACCAAGCGCTTATCAATCGAGTTTTGTGCCACTATCAGAAGAAGACAATGCAAATGAGCAATGACTGGGGGAAATTTCAATGCACTGCGAGAAATTGGAAAGAATTTCAAGAGGAATATGAAAAGAAATTTGGTGGAAAAGTTGGATAAAGAGAAATTAGGTTTTGGAGGACTTGTAAAATTTGTAAAATATATAAGTGCAAGCAAAAACAATTTATAAATAAATAAAAAAATAAATACAAATTAAAAAAAATATTAAAATATATATATTATAAAAGAAAAAATTATGAAACAATAAAAATCAATTTCTTTCAATTCCATATCTATGCAATCTAAAACCTTTCCACACAATCATATAATAATATATCTTATCTATCGAATTACAAATTCGATTTGAAAGCAGTTTTTACTATACACTTCCAAGAATTCCATAATCATACATATGGTTTTTTTTCTTTCAAAAATAAAACAGCTAAATGCAGTCTTTTATATGATATATATAATAATATATAATATATATATATCCAATTTACTTGCTGAGCAAACAAAATAAAATATTTAAGTACGCAGTTTTATCAGCGCTCGAGCCGCAAGCTCGTATAATTAATATGTAGCAAAAGAAAATGAGGCGAGTATGAAAAGCAATGAAAGAAGAATAAAAAATATGTGGTTTAGGGCTAAATTAGTGACTGGCAGATACTCTGTAATGAATTGCAATATATATACAGACAAACATATAGCAATGTTGCTACACGCTCTACACTTAAACCTAGTCTATAGCTATACAATCTTTGATAACTCTGCTGTTCAGAATCCAAACATTACGAAACCTTTTCTCTGATAATATAACATATATTTATTTTGTACATACCAATGTACAAGTCTTAAATATTATTATTAATGATATTACTCAATTTTAATTAAAGTTATTTTCTCTAAGCCTAAAAATATCTATATACAACAATTTGTGTCGTATAGAAGTACACTCTGAGCAAATTTAGCATAGGTAACTTTTAAAGTTCTCGAGTTATGCTTAAGAAAACCTTTTTAAAAATGAATATTTATCAGTTTCACAAAAAGTATTCGTATTATTTACCCAAACAAGCTATTATTAGGTAGAAAAACATTTTTAAGAATTTCAATTTTTTAAATCAAGTCTCCAGCTCTTACAGTTCTTGAGTTCGTTGGGTCTAGAAATAAAAAAGAACAGTATAGATAAGCAAAAAGTGTATGATTGTGTCATATGTTATCTATATACCCCATAAGACAAAAGATATGCGCCCCCAAAAACATCATATCCCATTATATAAACCCATTATAGGGTATACATAAATAAAAGCAAGAAAATAAAACGAGAGATGAAAAATCGTAAATACAAATATAAAGAAATAAAATATATAAACATATATATGGAAACGGAATGAAGCAAGTGACAAAAGCAATCAGTACATTAACGAATCCCATTCCGTCGGGTGGTGTCAATTCGTAACGCTCGTATACCAACCACTCCACACTATTTGGTTTCTATGTTTCAAGTTGTTTCGAGCTCTTTGGATTCGGTGTTCCAGTTTTACGTTTCCGTTTCTTAAAATTTGCGGATGTTATGAAAGTGAAATTTACAGCTATTAGAACCTATCCGAAATGAGTTCTTATAGAACTTTGGTGGATCACGCGGAGTCGACATCGTGCAACGCAGCTGCGCTGGCGACGGCCTCGCCGACGACGCTGCATCGCATGATCAAATATTGGCGAAACAGTTCCGGCAAGATTCCGGGATTGCGCAAGAGCGAGAGCTTTACGGATTATCGACGACATTCGGCGGGTGTGGCACAGCATGCCACGTTGCCCAATCGACAGGTGGTGCAGTATCAACGCCTGGAAAGCTATGATGAGAGCAAGCTGACACAAATGAGGTGAGCCAAGGGGCGTGTTGTGGGGTTTCCTATTGGAGGGGTCGTCATACAATTAATTTTATTGTTTTGCGCGGCTCATTTGCTTTGATATTGTGGCAGCTGCATCGAAATGTGGGGCATGCATATTTGCTATTTGGCTTTTGGCCTAATGCCAGCAACAGTTGGTGCGCTACGCCCCCAATAGTGCGTTTATCTCACAGATGAATACGAGCTCGCTGTCCCCTCTCTCTTTTTTCTTTCACTCTTATTATCAGCGGGCAACTCCAAAACTGCCACCGTCATTATCAGCTGCAAAAGCAAAACCACCACCAACAACAACAACTACAGCTGCTTAGCTGTTGATAAACGCAAGTGAACAAGTGCATGACGCCGTCGCAGAAGCAGCGAACATTCCATTGCCAGTGTGGATGCCATTTCTTGCTTTGTTTTTTGTGTAAAATAGAGAGGGAGAGAGAGAGCGGTTCTTGTTGTTGTTGCTTACGCATGCTTGTCGTTTATTCAGCTGGCGCTTTCCAGTGTCCACAGCTCTCACAAATGCCGTCCACAGAGCTTGCGCGTGGTGGAGCTTGTGGCTGTGCCGACACTAGCTAGCAAACCTTATATTATGACTTGGCTTAGGGCCAAGTAGCAATTTTATATTTTTATTTATTATCTTATTATATTAACTAAAATCCATATTATAATTATTTTTTAATTTTTCCTTTGTTTATAATTATAAAAGAAATAATTAAAAATTAAAACAATATTAATTGTTATTGAAATATATTTTATAACTGATACACTTAGTTATTTATTAATTTGTAATTCGCAACAAACCTTCATTGCCAAAACTTTGGTTGTATGCACAGTGTAAAAAACAACTGTTTATGTTTTCATTCCAATGCGTGAGAGAGCGAACTATCGCTCACTCTCTGAGCGCCATATGAAAATCAGCTGCGACGCCAACTGTGCTGTTTGTTGTTGCTATTATTTTTTTTTTTGGTATTGGTGCCCCGTGCCGGTCGTTTACAGTTTGTTTTTGTTATCGCGCGCCGCCTACTGCATACTTTTGGGGTAGCCCCCAACGGGGCGAAATCGAAACTGAGTGGAAGGAGTGAGCAAGCTATGCAAATAGCACTCCATTTCGAGTCGGGCCTTTGATGAGGCCGGCAACCATTGTTGTTGTTGTTGCTGTTGATATTGGTCTGTTTGTTGTTTGTTTTGGCTAATGCGGGCGCACTCGCTTTCGTGCCTGCCACGATGCTTACTGTATTTGTGCAAACTGTGCCCAAGCGGCGACAATAATCGCTTGCATTTGTAATGTAAATAAATGTAAATGTAAATAAACAGGAAAATGTGCCCCCATGCGACTGCAACACCCACTCACCCCCAGAAGCAGAATACGCTGTGTAAGTGCAACAACTGCACACATACACACACACAGGCGCACAAGTAGCGACGACCACGCGTAACGGTTGTTGTCATTCCAGTTGTGTGGATGCCATTCGCTCTTACTCTCACACTATTTACGCTCTAACTCTCTGGTCGTTGTGGAACCTGAAATCTGAGCTTCGTGCGCCAGACAGTTGGCAGCGCAGCAGCAGCAGCAGCCGCCGCACTCCAATTGGGATTTCAGTTTCGTTTTGATAATCGACTCGTGTGGGCGTCGTCGTAGTCGTCGTCTTCGTCGTTCCGTATGTGAGCCGAGAGCAGCGCAGTCGAAGTTCTTTTCGTAAAAAATGCGTGCGCTGTTCTTGTTCTTGTTTTTGTTGTTACGCTTCTGCCAATTCTGCTCATGCAACGGCAACATCGACAACGTCAACGCATCATTTGCAAATTAGCAGCAGCAGCAACAGTTGCACACGCAGCACCAACAACGGTCAAACAAAATTCGTTGAGCGAATTCAAAAATTCAAAAGTGTACAACTGTGTGTGCGCGTGTGTGTGTGTGTAATTAGTCAAAATGAGGTAATTATTTTTATCAGCAAAACAGAATGCACGACAGTCCAACCAAAAATTCGATCGAGCATTGAGTGTTGCAAAATGCCGGCACGCGCCAAAAAAGTGAAATTCGTGAAAGAAAAGAAACGAAACGAAACGAAAAAAACAACTGCGCTCAATTAAACGTTCAAATGGCAAGCGAAGAAGAGTGGAACAAGTGTGTGTAGATATAATAGATAATTACAGTTGTTTATTTTCGTCTCATAAAGAATATGCATTGGAATTAGGCAAAACGAAAGTGTTTGCAGTGAAATCTTTTGTTGTTGCTATTATTAAACAACAAATTACAAAAGTGTCGTTAATAATTGTGCATAAAAAAAAAAAGAAAATAAAAACATAACTCAAGTGACCAATAAAAAATATAAACGAAATTACAATAATAAGCGACAACTTAACGGCTACAAAAGCAAAGCGCCAAAAAATGAAGAATAGCAAAACAACAACAACCGCTGTAGCTTCCAAATTCGAAAATTCATTTGCCATTCACCGCTGGAAGTTGTCAGTTTCTGTTGTTGCTGTTTTGCTTTTTGTTGCTGCATTTCGATTGAAATGCGTCACGCGTATTTGTTACGTGTTTTTTTGTTTGTTTGAGGCATCAACATCGATGCGATCACATTGAATATTGATAAATGTGCATACAGTAAGAGTGTGTGTATGTGTGCGATTGGAGTTATATGTCTGATATTATTGATGGAGTGTTGTTCAGTATTATGATAGCTTGTTTAGTTTGATCAATATGTGAGAAATTTTTAAACCAAATTTACTGATCATATTGGATATGTTTCTTTTTTTTTTTTTTTTTGAATTTTAAAACATTTTCGGGTTTCCATTACACAAGTCGAGAACGATTTAAGTCGTATTCCAGACTTTTCTTTTATTTGTTTACAAACTCCGATCTTTGTTATTTCCAATTGGAGCAACAGTTCAATTTCATCTGCTCTAAGTCTTAATTTACATTTCTTGCCTACTCCAACAATTTTGACTTCCATTATAGCTAATTTTTCCACTAGTGTTTTCACATTAAATAACATATCAAAGAGTAGTTTGAATATTTAATATTTAAAAAATATTTCTGTTTTTGCTACATTTCACCTTTTCGAACTATCCAGCAGAAAAGTAAATTTTCATTGACGCAATTAAAACCACTTCCAACATTATTTTACTCGCTGCTGATTCATCTTTTGTTTGGCTTCCAGAATTTGCAATTGGAATGTCAGCTTAAGTCACTCAGCTGATCCGCAGCACAAAGCACGTAAATTTTTGTCACAAAATCTTTGTCTTAAATGCGGCCAATCAACTTCCAGATTCCCGTGCGTATGCATTCAAGTGTGTGTTTGTGTGTGTGTGTAGGATCCTGCTCACTTGCTCTTCGCTGCTCGTACCCAATTTCCTTATTCCGTTTGCATATGCATATGCATGTATGTGTACATGTATATGTATGTATGCAAATTACGCATTTTTTGTGTGCCGTTTAATATGCGCCTCGCTGCTGATATTGTTGTTGTTATGCATTGCTAGCGGGGCATTTTTGTTGTTGCAGGCAGGCAACAAAATCCTCAGCACGTGAATTTCTTTTAAACGGGTTTCACATGATAATTGTTGTTGTTGTTATTGCTGCTGGTTTTCATTTTCGTTGTGTTTTGCTTTTTTTCTCTTCAGTTTCTACTTGTTGTTTTCTGTGTTCGTTTGTACATACATATATATTGGCATTTGTTTTGTTCTTCTACTCTTTTTTTGCGTATTTTTACTGCTGCTTGTTGTAGGTTTTTTTTTGTCACAGCTGCTGCATTGCCCAAAATGTTGCTGGAATTTTTCAATACGTTTCGTGCGCTTGTCCTCCCCCCACCATTTGCCGCAGGCATATTTTCATTCTCGTTTGCTCTCTTTGCGCTGCTTTGGTTTTACTTGCATTGCTTCTGCTGCCTGTTGCTCGTTGTTTGTTTTTGGCTTTCTCGGCGAATCAAATAGATCTGCATAAATATTGACAGCATTCGTATTGCTTCCAGTTCTATGTAAATGAACTTTATTGCCTTCAACCAACATTAACAATAACAAAAAGCAGCTGGTTTTGGTCACTTTATCTGCCATTCATTCATCACTATCTTTCGCATATGTCTCTCGTCCACTCATTACGCTCATCAATTGTCTTGTCATCTCTCAATGCTGCCGATGGTATTGTTGTTATTGCTGCTGCCTTCGCTTGACCGAAAAGTTCAAGTTGAAGTGCAGTGGTCTGAACAGCTCAGCCTCAGTGGCTGTCTCTTTCTCTGTCTTGCTGCCTGCTACAGCTTTAGTGAGAGAGCGCGTGTGAGAGAGTGTAGACGATGACGGGCCACTATCTTTTTCGCACACGCTCTCGCTCTTTATAAATTTTTTTTAGGTTCTTTTGCTGTGTCATTCGCCTGCATTGATTTTGAATTTTACTGTGCTGCTACGCAAAATTTACCGTTTTGCCAAATGCGTTTTGCTTTGTCGCTTATCTCTCGATCCCCAACGCTGTTGTTCCCTTTTACTCAAACACACACACACAAACGCTTAATTTATGGGGCGTGCGCGTTCTTTGGCCCACTGCCAAATGGCCGCGACGAGTGGCATAGAGCATAGGAGACAGAGATTGATAGGGAGAGAGAGGTGGAGAGGGCACGCGTTCCTCTTCTTTAGTCGGAGCAACTGTATTTGATATGCGCCTGGCGTGTTTTTCATATGTTTACTTTAATTGCCTTTGGCAGCGGCTTCGTTTGCTATTTGCAACGGCAAGCAAACGAGTGTGGATGAGAGTGGGGTAGGGGCACTGCAAAATGGGGTGTGTTTGCTTACGAGCTGTTTACACCTGTGCCAAAAGTCTGAGAATTTACTTTGAAAAGGAAAACAACAACATTTCATGTGTTTTCTCTGATTTTCAACTGTAAAAAAAATATATATAAATTATGAAATTTTTTATGTTTGCTTTGAACGTAATATTCCAGGGATTAGCAGCACAGCTGACCATCTGAAGGTCAGCTCTGAGTTATTTGATTTCT